GCTTATTGGGCTGGGGAGAAGTTTTGGGCAACAGACTTTGATGTCAGGGAAATCTCTGATCAACATCCTGAAGCTTCAGTCAATTTGACTGTCTCTGCAGTGCCTGATGATTAGGCTGAAGGGTCATCTAATCCAGATTTAGTCAAACAATTCCACAGCAGTGGGAGGAACCCAAAGTCTTGCAGTGGCAAGGGAGGTAGAGTGCATCCTATCCTGGGGAGAACTTACATTCCAGTCATGAACTATTACAGTGAGATTTCCTCAGCCAACAGTGTCTGGACCCAATGGATCCCTACCCCTGGAGGTGTTCCAAGACATGTATCACAGATGGTGGATGTTGGATGCAGACCTCCTGGCCTCCAGGCTCTACAGAAAGCTGGACAGGTTTGTCTCCGGGTACAGGGTTCCTCTAGCAGATGTAGAGGATGCTTTGGTGGCTTCATGGGATCAGTACAGCTTGATCTATGCCTTTCCACCCTTGAAACTTCTTCCTCATCTGCATTGCATACATTATCTCAAGAACATCCTCACAGAATTTGTTTAGCCCAGAAAGATGTGTTACCCCAGCTTGAGAAGACACCTGGTGGATGCTCTGTCAGCACACTCAGATCATCCAGTTCTTCTCTTAAGGATGGATTTACCATCCTGATTCACAATTGCTTTCTTTAATGGTAAGGCTGTTGGAGCCCAGGTTCTGAGGCATAGGGAATCTCTGAAATGGTTATTCCTATGATGTTAAAAGCTAGAAATTCTACTTCTCATAAGGTCTACAACCTACTGTCATGTACCTTGTGGTAGAGCCTGATGTGTAAAGGGAGGCCTCTCATACAGCCCCAGCTCTGAGACTACTGATGTTGTGACAGTGGCTGCAAGAGCAGGGTGAAGTCTGAATGCCTGTAAGATGTTCCATCAGAGACAATAGGTAGCAGGTGCATCTCCAGAGGCAGGTCAGATTGCTGGAACAGCAGGTGGCAGCAGGGACAGCAGACCCAGGACTGGGCAGACAGCAGGTGGCAGGTGCTTGCCAGGCAGCTGATAGGTAGCAGGTTCAGCAGGACTTGTAGCACTGAACATGTGAAAAACCAGCAGGAACCAGGTAGCATGCAGAGTAGGACAGGAGGATAACTGGATGCAAGGTCAGACGAGCCAGGCCAGCAACAGACGGTCAGATACAGGCATGGACGGTATGCAGAGAATGGTCAGAATACAATCAAAGGTCAGCAATGGAGAATCAGACAGATGGGCAGAAGACAGAGCAAATACGAAGTATTTGTAAAAAGTCAGGTGGACAATCCAAAGGGTATCCAATGTGTTTCTGGGATCCAAATACATCTCCCCTCATCAAGGCTTTACTAAAAACAATGTGAATGGACTAGAAGTTAACTGGACCTTTTATGGCATTTCTTCCAGTGTGATTACAAGCAGAGGTCTTGTCAACAGCTGGTTTGGCAGCCTTTCCAGTCCTGATCCACTTCACTTCTAATGAAAGGAAGTGAAGGAAATAAAAAAAAATATGAAGTAACAGAAAGTGAAGCATACCTGTTGCAATAATTATTTTGTATAAACAAAATCCAATTAAACACTTACTGCAATTCTAAACAAGAAGTTTATATAGAAAAAAATAATATAAATATAAATGCATTTGAATTTGTTTTGCTATTTCTACAGGTTGCCTGTTTATATACCAAAACAATTTTTCCTCTTAAAGCTTACCACTCTAAAATTAAAGAAAACATGGTGAAAAAGGAGAGTATGTAAAGCAATGACTGCCTAATGATAATCACAGCTGTCACAGTTTACATTTTGAACATTTTTCAAATAGTAGCTGTAAAGCTCACTAGCAAGAGCACAACAGTAACAAAGGTCTGGAGGTCAATGTTTTATGAACTCCCAGTTACTTAGTGCAAATTCTTGCATTCTGCGTATAACAGCTGTGTATATTGCATGACAATAAATGTATGTCAGTAAGTGATTGTGTGGTTTTCTTCTGTTATAAATAATGGAGTACAGAAAAATGTTGTAATATTACACCATTTCTATTGTAGTCAATGCATTCAACACAATGTTTCTGTCTATTTATTACTGATATATGACCTTATTTTGGAAGCCATTGTATTTTTGATCAAAAGTTTAGTCCCTTTTTTATTTGGTACTTTGGCAACTAAATGGCAGGTGTGTATAAATTGATGATTATAAGGGTCGTGCCGGGCAAATAATGCATTATTATTTCTGAATATTAAAGTGTACCTAAACTCAGGAACAGGGGCGGACTGACCATATGGAAACTCGTGCACTGCCCGAGGGCCCAGGGTCAGTAGGGGGCCCCATGAGATGCCCCTGGTACCTTTGTCATAGGCTTTTTTGAGTTTGAGCAAGGACACAGGGGCCCCATGATCCCCTATTGCCTGGGGGCCCCATGAGTTGTCAGTCCGCCCCTGGTTGGTACCTACCTGGTTGTTATTTTCTTGTACCCTGATTATTATGTTTGGGTAGACACTTGTTGTGAATGCAATTTTACCATACAAGAATTTATAGAATATGAATAGGTCCGGGCCCTGGAAGCAAAAAAAAAAAACCCACCAGGCTAAGATGTGTATGTGCTTAAATCTACAGGTGACACTCGAAAAATTAGAATATCGTGCAAAAGTTCATTTATTTCAGTAATGCAACTTAAAAGGTGAAACTAATATATGAGATAGACTCATTACATGCAAAGAAAGATAGTCCAAGCCGTGATTTGTCATAATTGTGACCGAGGGCTCAGGGGCACGGGGTCAGTAGGGGGCCCCATGAGATGCCCCTGGTACCTTTTTCATAGGCTTTTTTGAGTTTGAGCAAGGACACAGGGGCCCCATGATCCCCTATTGCCCTGGGGCCCCATGAGTTGTCAGTCCGCCCCTGCTCAGGAAACTAAGTTTAATAAATTACAGCTTACCAGTTCTTAAATTTGGTGGTTACTTTAGTCTTATATTTTTATTTTCCTCCTTGTTTTCACCTGGTGATCCTGCCAGTAAAACTCTTCCTGTTCTACTGCAACAATGCTCACTCAATGCACTGTATCTATGGAGAAACAGCATTGTCACCTAGGACCCTTGGACAGGAAGAGTGTTAATAATACAGAACACCACCTTCTTTCCATAACATACGGCTGATCTTTAGCTCCCAGAGCTAATCTGTGTAATGCAATCACCAAGGGTCGGATACAACTGAATGGATAGAGAGAGAGAGCTTGGAATCTCTTGCATTACAGTAAATCATATACATAATGCCATTGTCACTGGCAGTGCTCAAATGTATATAAGTATCACACATAGCATATAGTCAGCTTTTCCCATTAAAAAGTTAAATCTGCCTTGTAAAAAAGTCCTAGATTGTAAGCTCTAAGAAGCAGGGCCCTATGTTTCCTCTTGTACCTAATTGTATTGTAACTGTAATGTCTACCTTCATTTTGTAAAGATCTGCACAAAATGTTGGCGCTATATAAATCCTGTATAATAATAATAATAAAAAAGTATGTGAAAAAGAAAGCATTAGTTTCTTGAAAGAACATATTTCTTCTCTGGGTGCCTATAATAAATACATATGTTATAGTCAATAATCAAACCCTTATACAGTATGTTTGAAAAAGTCAGCTGTGCCACAAGTCATTAAATTGCCAAAAAGTCAATTGTTTCAGCAATATGAGGTAGGCAACATAACTTTGCATTGTTACTATTTGTTACTCTGTTGTATTCAATCAATGTAATACTGATCCTGTTGAATGCACCCTGAGGCTAATGGCTTCAGTAGATCTTGTTTAAGTTGCTGCAGTGCTTCAAGTAATGCAGGCACTTTGAAAAACCGATGTGCCTCTAAGGAGTAGTTGTTTTCCACTGTTAGAGTGTGAATCAAGCCAAGAACCTACGTTCATAAACAAAGTTTGGGCTTGTGGAAAAAGGAGCCAAACCTGTATCAGCATTGTAACTTTCACTATATTTATTGTTCAGTCTTGCACTCTGTCCTATATCTCTACTCTTGTGACAGTGTAATTATTGTTGTTTCCTTCAGCGTAATAATTAAAATAAAATTAGAGCAAAAAAATGGGTGAGCTGCAATATACTGTTATATGAAAGAATCTTTAAAGAGGAGCTGTGCCCAAAAAAGACAGTAGAATCAAACATTGTAACAATATGTGTAGTCAAGATCCAATAAATAAACAAAAAATAAATTTAAAAAAATGTTTTTTACTCACTTGTCTACCGGGCACTTTCACCCCCTTCCTGCCCAGGCCAATTTTCAGCTTTCACCGCTGTCGCACTTTGAATGACAATTGAGCGGTCATGCAACACTGTACCCATATGAAACTTTTATAATTTTTTTGAGACAGATAGAGATTTTTTTGGGTGGTATTTAATCACCACTGGGTTTTTTATTTTTTTGCTAAACAAACCAAAAACAACTGAAAATATTGAAAAAAAAGTTTTTTTTTCTTAGTTTCTGTTATAAAATTTTGTAAATGAGTCATTTTTCATCTTCACTGAAGTGCGATAATGAGGCTGCAGTGATGGGCACCGATAGGATGCACTGATAGGCAGCACTGATGGGCACTGATGAGGAGGCACTGGTAGGTGGCACTGATGGGCATTGACAGGCATCACTAGTGGGCATTGACGTACATCACTGATGGGCACTGAAAGGCAGTACTCATATATGGCACTGATAGGCAGCACTGATGGGCACTGATAGGCAGCATTGACGAGCACTGATAGGCGGCGCTGACAGGCACTGATAGGCGGCACTGACTGGCACTGATTGGTGGCACTGATTGGTAGCACTCATAGGTGGCACTGACTAGCACTGATAGGTGGCACTGACTGACACTGATAGTTGGCAGTGAAAGGCAGCTTAGATGGGCACTGATATGTGGCATTGATGTGCACTGGTAGGCACTGATATGTGGCATTGATGTACACTGATGGGCACTGACAGGTGGCATTGATGGGCACTGACAGGTGGCATTGATGGACACTGACAGGTGGCATTGATGGGATCATTGCCCTGATGATCAGTGTAGATGTCCCCTCTGAGGAATGCCAATTACCTGCTCTCCTCTCCTCACGAGCTGTCAACGTCACAGCTTGTGAGGAGATGAATGCGAATAACTGTTATTTACTTATTTACATGTGATCAGCTGTGATTGGACACAGCTGATCACATGACAGAGCCGAAGTCGTCAGCTCTTTCCACTGGTCGGTGATCCACTGTGTCCCAGGGACACACTACACCACTGATCGCCACGCTGCACACCCCTGGGGTGCGCACGCACGGTCAGAGTGGGAGGACGTCATACAATGTCCTCCCAGAATGAGAGAACCGCTGCGCTTCCATAATTTCCTTATATATTATATATTATATATAATAAGGAGCTGTCGTATACATTTATATAGGAAACACATAACACTTGTAGATTGAGGTTGAGCTTAAGTTTGGTTTTTATGTTTTTTAAAAAAAAAAAAAAAAAAGACAGTCAAAGGGTAAAGGGCCAGTCACCAGAATTACCCAATGTCTTCCTGTAGCCAAACTGTTCCTTGTTACTGAATTACCATGCTTTGTTCTGCACTGTGTCTGTGTGGAGGCAGCCATCTTAGTAGAGACAAGGTTTTGCTCTACATGTTAGAATCGACAGCAAGGAGAACACTGAGCAACACAGTAGTGACATCACCAAATCTCACTTAAATCCTGAGACTGGTAAACAAAAGCAGCAGTAGCTTAGATCTCACACTGCAGATGAACAGCTATGAACAGCTATGAACCTGCAGTCACAGAAGTGCATAACATACCAGGAGCTGCACTTCTATTTATTTTTTTAGGAAAACTTTCAAACAAAAGGCATATTTTCAGGTTTGGTTTAGGTGTAATTAACCTTCAACATTGCAAATCTTCACTTTTTGAGCTCAGGTCCACGTTACTTATACTAGAAAATCCACTGGTTTCTTTTGCAGATGGTATGTGCCTTTTTGGCTAATATGCCACTAAAAATAAAATGTTACCATTGGCCATACATCTTGAACTATGATTGCGCATAACCACTTGCCGACCAGCCACTTTAGAAAAACGGTGACAGGTCGGCACCGCTGCGCAAAATCACGTTTTTAAAATGTAATTTTGCAAAACAGGTAGGGGGCACGCACGAGCTGCGTGCCCGCCATACCCGTCCCGCCGATCGCAGCAGCGGGTGTCAATCACTGGGTCCCGGCCAGTCATTACCCGCCGGGTCCCCGTGATTGCCGGCAAACAGTGACACAGAGCACAGCTGCAGTGCTCTGCTCCCTGTCAGCTCCTAACACGCTGATCCTGAGAGCGGAGTTTATCTCTAGGGATCAGCATGTTCCTGTGGAGCACACACCCCCACCCCCTAGTAAAACACTCCCCTCACATAGTTAACCCTTTCAGGGCCTAAAAAAGTTAACCCCTTCCTCCCCAGTGCCATTAGTACAGTGTCAGTGGTTTTTTTTGCACTGATCACTGTATTGGTGTCACTGGGGATGTCAGTGACCTCAAGTCAGTTCCCCCCAGTGTCAGAATGTCCGCCACAGTCCTGCCATAAGTCGCTGATCACTGTCATAAATCGCTGATCACCGCCATAAGTCGCTGATCGCCGCCATTATTAGTATAGAAAAAATCCCAGTATCTTTCCAGCCATTTGTAAACGCTATAACTTTCACATAAACCAATTAATTTACAAGTATTGGGATTTTTTTTTTAGCAAAGACATGTTGCAGAATACATTTTGGCTGAAATTTATGCTGAAATTTGATTTTTACATTTTTTTACTGGACATGTTTTATAGTAAAAAGTCCAAAATATTTTTTTTTCTCAAAATTGTCAGCCTTTTTTTATAGCGCAAAAAATAAACAACGCACAGGCGATCAAATACCACCAAAAGAAAGCTCAATTCCTGGGAAAAAAAGGACGCAAATTTAATTTGGGTGCAGTGTTGCATGACCGCGCATTTGTCAGTTAACGTAATGCAGCGACGTAACACAAACCGCTTCTATAACCGCTTTCTGACCGCCCTATAGCAGAAATACTGCTACAGGGCGGCATGGGTGTGCAAAATCACATATATTTATATATATATATATATATATTATATATATATATATATATACACGTGATTTGCGCTCCCGTGGTTTTCATGCCCCTCCCAGATAGCATCAGATTGCCCGTCAGTACACCAGTCATCACATTTAACCCCTTGATTGCCAGGACCACGCTACACAATAAACCTCCATTGCTAGTATAGTGACTGAACGGATCAATATCTTTGATCAGATCAGCACTATACCAGCGTTCACATTAGTATAGCACCCCCAAAAATGCAGCGTTACTGGGATCAGCCCCGGCACCTGCCAACACCTGCGTTTAGCCTCTAGGTTTACCCCCCCCCCTTCTCCCCCAGCAAGTGCAGTGTCAGTAGGTCACTGTCACTTGATACATTGCACACAAAACTGCAGTGTTCGCAGAATCAGGCCTGATCTCTGTTAGCACTTGCCTGTAAATTTTGATTACTCTCATATGCAGCAGAGTGCCAGTACTAGTACCGCTCTACCTTTTGGTGAACTGGCGACATCAGCGGTCTAGTACATCTTGGTCTTTCACATACCTCCTTGATTTTTGGAGCTGTTTTTCATGGAATATCTGTATACGTTGATTGTGGATCAAAGCAATTTATATGCACAACAATTTATCGCCGCCAACCCAAATTCAAACCTTGCCAGACCAGTTGCATGGAAACTCATTAGGGTTTCCGAATTTAAATTTTTTGGGGCCTAACCCTCAACATGGGCATTACTAAAAGAAATAAATTGCGGTTGTATTGGTCCGCAGACCCGATTTATCATATGCCGTGTTCTCTGCTGCCATGGCCAGGCATAGATATGAGAGTATAATGTGTTTTGTGCATTTCAACGACAATACACTCTGTCATCCTCGGGGTGACCCTGAATTTGATTGGCTCCACAAAATTCAGCTCCTCGTAAATCACCTTAACCAAAAATTTGCAGGTGTCTATACTCCCCAGCAAAACATCTGCGTTGATGAGTCCCTCATTAATTTTTCTGGCCGCCTTGCATTCAAACAATTTCTCCCCTGCAAGCGTGCCAGATATGGGGTCAAGATGTAGAAGACCTGTGAGAGGACAACAGGCTATACTTATAAGTTTCGGATTTATGAGAGAAAAGATAGTCCGTTAAACTAGTGCAGCGCTGTATAGCAAAAAAATGGTGTAAATTGCAGTATCTATACCATAGTTTGTAGACGCTATAACTTTCACACAAAGCAATCAATATACACTTATTTGGATTTTTTACCAAAAACATGTAACAGAATACATTTTGGCCTAAATTTATAACTAACTTTGAGTTTACTATATATTTTTTATAGCTGAAAGTAAAAAATATTGTTTTTCTTCAAACTTTTTGGTATTTTTTTGTTTATAGCGTTAAAAATAAAAAAGCGCACAGGTGATCAAATGCCACCAAAAAAATCTCTATTTGTGTGAAAAAAAGGAAGTAAATTTCATTTCGGTGCAGCATTGCATGACCGTGCAATTATCAGTTGAATTAGTGCAGCGCCAAGTAGCAAAAAGAGTCCTGGTCATTAAGGGGGGTAAATCCTCTGGAGTGTAAGTGGATAAGGTAACTGAACAGCAACAAAAACATAGTTTACGTTTCAAAATCTAACTTTAATTCGCTGTCCTGAGGTTTTATGTTGTGAATGGCACAGTTATTTGCTTTTCCTTTCGGATGGCTGGCATTGGATGACTGGCTAACGTATGTAAATAGCTTAAACTAAACCTGTGCTTTGCTGATGGTTAAATGCCAGCCCTGCAGCTGCTTATACTTACCTGCCCTCTGCTCCTCTGCTGCTCTATTCCCCTGAGAAAATGGAGTGGCATATCTAGTACTTCTGAGTATGAAGAAGTGTGTGACCTGAACCACAGGGCTTCTAATTGGTACATCTGTGGCAAACAAAGCAAGAAATAAGCAGCCTCTAAAAAACATAGTTATTTTTTAATTTAATGTGGAACTTCACTCTCTCAATCAACATTGACTATTTTTAATCCTTATGCTGTTAGCATTAGTAAATGGACAGGGAAGTATATCATATTTACATGTTTTACATTTTTTTTTTCTACATTTATTCAGTTATTTCCTGGTTTTCGTGCCTAGGCAAATTTGTCATGCATCCCAGCAGTCTTCAAGAGGGGAAGGAGGGTTCTCAGCTCAACCAATGCCTGAACTAAGGGAATATGGATTATAGCAAGTAAATGCTACATGAATCATCTGCCCTTACTCAAGATGGCCACTGCCAGAAATGCCAGGGGGTGTTTTTCAAAAAGATTTCTTAGCAAAATAAAGCATGGAAACATGAATTGATGAAGGAGTTTGCTTTTAATATTAAAGCGAAGCTCCATCCAAAAGGGGAAGTTCCGCTTTAAAGACTGCTCCCCCGCTCCCCATTAAGGATTGGCACATTTGGGGGGTGGGGGGAGAGGGTGTTCGAATTTGACAGGTACCCACTTCCACTTCCAGTCCGATCGCCTAGGTGATCGGAAGCAGAAGGTGTCCTCCCTCCCTCCCTGTAGTCTTTTGGGATACGTGACAGGTCCCAGAAGACTATAAGAACATTCAAGAAACGTAGCGCTACTCATACATGCACAGTGGGTACCCAGCTGTGAAGCCACAAGCAGTCAGAGCCATACTGTAGATGCTGGCCTCCTGGAATACAGGACTGCCAGTGAAATGGACTACGGAGGACACACTGTGGGACCGAGGGACAAGTAAGTGGCTGTTTTTTAAAAGTCAGCAGCTACAGTTTTTGTAGCTGCTGACTTTTATTTTTTGACAGGGTGAGTGGAACTCCGCTTTAACAATGAATTAAATAGCATTTGTGGTGGTCAGATACAGTGCAGTTCCCTGTTAACAAACATTGATAATTCAGTGTATTCAAATTTTGCCTTTGGTCAGTAGAATTTGAGGCCTGTGAAAGTATCTCATACAGTATATACAAATATTTATGAAACAGTTTTTACATATTGTAACGTATTGCTATAACACA